CACATTTAAATGGGAGAGGACTGAGGCTTTGGACAATCACTAATTATCAATCACTAAAATAGATTCATAACATTCCAGATGCCCTGTGCTCAAAGCAGGAGTATTGATCTCTGTGATAACACATGTGACAGCAGCTGTTTGGAAAGTAGAGATCATGAAAAACAAAGACATCAATCTGAAGCATGAAGGTGCCACACCACTGATTAAAAACATCAGAGGAACACAGACAGCAGAGGTGTGCTGGCTTCAGTCGGCCTTTTTAAAGCTGCATTTTTAACAGTAACATACTGTGTTTGTTCAGCTAACATGTCTTATTCTGATCATAACTCAGAGCTGTGACTCTCATTCTCTACTCTAGCACAGAATGAACCACGACGGTTCAGACAGGATCTCTTTTATGGTTTACATAAAAGTGCAGAGGGCTCTTGATGAGTGCTGAAACTGTGTCAGGACAGAAGGCCTTTGATATTTGACATTCCACTAAAAACAGTGAAACAGGCGGGAAAACAAATAAGTGCTGCGATGAATTGTTGGGTAAAGATGGACCTGTGTGTTGACTTGAGTGTGAGTGTGGCGCTGTACTTGTACAGATGAGAAAATGTGTTGTAAAATATTCCATTTGCACTGCATAGATTAGAACCTGCTCTTAACCCACATCAGAATATTAACAATTTACACCATTTTTCATCCAGAAAAAAATCTCAATTATTTATTTTTGTATTGTTGACATTTGGATTGCAGCTGCTGTGCTAACTTAGAGGTTTTATAACTACCGTAGCTGCCCCCGTTTTCCCCTTGAATCCGTGTTAGGGGACTCCAGCCGGTGTTGACTTAGTAAATCTCCTCTTGGAGGATGTACAGAAAAGTTTTTTAAAGATAGCAGGTGAAATGTTCTCTTACCGTCCTGTGGAAAGGAAATGAATGTCTACACATAAGTGCGCTGCAATAAATGAGTTTGTGAACTGACTGACAATGAAATTTGTCCTTTTTTGTCTTTGTGTTAAGAAGAGTTTATATTTATTGCCAGATTTAAACATCTGCATTTGTAACATAGCTGTAGCTCATTTCTGTTTTCATGGAAGTAGATGTGATCTTAGTGGGGAAAAAAGTTATACTCGTGTCAATTTATCTGTGTTAACTTATTCAGTTTGTCATCCACTGCCAGGAATTTCTGTTTCTCCCAAAAGACGTATCTATCTAATCTATTGTCCTATAATTAGCTAAGACTGCTGGGTCAAGAGATGGCTTTTTAAGTAAAGTATTAACTACTGCCAGCTTGAAGGCCTGTGGTACATAGCTGATTATTAGAGATTGAAGCATTTATTAATGGTAGGATGAAGATGGGTACAGTGGGGTCATAAAGGAGACGGTCAGCAACAATACTGAGGTAGGCTTTGGTGCTTAAACAATACTCGGTACTAAAAAGTGTGCCAAGAAATTATCCCCACAGCGTCACACCACCAGTAGCCAGAACAACACAACATGTTGCAGCAGAAATTGAGACTCATCAGACCAGACACATTTTTTTTTCAACCTTCTATTGTCCAATTATGGTGAGCCTGTGTGAATTGTAGCCTCAGTTTCCTGTTATTATATGACAGGAGTAGCACCAGCTGTGGGCTTCTGCTGCTGTAGCCCATGTGCTTTAAAGTTTGAGGTGTTGTGAGTTAAGAGATGCTCTTATGCATATTTGGAAATTATGACAATTATATTAATCCTTAGATGCTACTTGATGCTAGCATATTTATCTGACCTGCAAGGGAGTCCTGCTATGGATGAATTTACAAGTTATTCCACAGATGTTCAGCATTTCTCACTTCCATCTCTGTTATGAGTAAAATAAACTCACTTCCCATTACTGGCCATTAGGAAGCGTCCACTGTGTTGACTGATATGGAACAAGGAAACGATGCACGAGCAAACCTTCGAATAGCTGTCATTTATAGTGACCGCTAAAGATGACAGGGATGAATTTGCA